TGCCCATCAGAAAAGTAGGACGTAAAACTCTATTCATTTAGCGCTCTTCTAATGGCGGTATGACCTGACAGAGACAGATGTCTAACTATGTCTAAGATATATTTGGTTAAAACTATTTCTGACTAAAATCCCTCAAGATATTAGCTTTCAACATAGAGGATGTAAATTAAAACAAATTCGTTAATTAAACTAAGAAATTAACATAATAGAAAGATATACTGAAACAAGGGAATCGAACTAGACCTACTCCATCAATATATCTTAATACGATATATGTAGTTATAGGAAAACGTAAAAGGGGTTGTGAAGAGGTTTTGTAAACTTTTTATGGCGTATGTTTTAAATCACAGGGACATGTACCAAAGTGGGAACATGCACTTTTCTCTGGGGACATTATGATATGTCACTGTCACAGGCTGTGAACAAAAATCCTATCGAACTACAATATACACAACATCTCATGCACTTTATACAGACTCGACTAACATTGTCTCTAAGTACTAGCAAAATTATTCATACAACCATACTGATACGGGGGCAAATACAAAAACAGGTTGAAAACCACTGGTTTATGTGTACTGTGGACGCTGATAGCATCGATTTGCACCATTCCAAGTTTCAGTCAGACGTCTGTGGTTTTTTGCATATCCACTAACACTAAGCGTTTCATGACTTCCCTACCACAAAAAAGCTATTAGATATCATTAACAGTTTTTGCGATAGTAACAAATTGAATTCTTATGACTGACGGAGAAAAAGCTTGATCGGAAGATAAACCTAAGTTTCTAAGCCATTGTAACCTACAAAGGACTCATTGTGTCTAAAACTGAGGTTAAATATTAAACACCCTGTTAAGATTACCTAAAGGGAGACAACACAGTCCTGTAGTATTTATGAGACCACAACTAAATCATACATCAACAGATTACATTGAGTAATCAAAATTCCGTATATTTTCCTTGATAGATTCCTTTCCTTTAGATCACCAACCTTAACGTTTAGGTCCGAGGTCGTTTCGTTAACATCATGGCACGTCGCACATGCAGGCAATGCCATGTTGTACATGAATTTAACTTAACGTTTAACATTTCAATTCAAAATTCTTTATTATTCTATCAAACCGTAAAAAATAATAATAAAAAAACATCAAAATACTTTCAAAAATTTAACCAATAACAATAAAAGTTAAAAAATAAAAATTATATAAATGGCTTCTTTCATTCAGTGAAATTCTAATTCACGTCATGGTACTGCTCGCCATGTCCCTGTAAGTCGCGTCACGCTTGTCTTGTCCATGTTTGGCGCGTCACGATCGTCGTGTCCCTGTTTGTCGCGTCACGCTCGTCATGTCCCTGTTTGTTGCATCACGCTCGTCATGTCCCTGATTGTTGTGTCACACTGGTCATATCCCTGTTTGTCGCGTCATTCACGTCATGTCCCTGTTTGTCGCGTCACGTCCGTCGTATTCCTGTTTGTTGCGTCACACTTGTCCTGTCAATTATTGTTATTTTACTGCTCGTCATGGCATTGCTACAATGCTAGGTTTGTCGCATTTTCCTTTAAAGTCATACAAAAACTGTTTTGGTCGTTGGATATGAATAGAATTCTAATTTATGAGACATTTGATTTAAAACACAACAAAAATTGCCACCTGAGAGTTGTTCTTCACCCAAGCTCTAAAACTCCCATTCATTTCATCTAACTTTTCGGGGTCTACGTTTTTGGTTCTGGACTGGTTTCTGCATCACCAATATTTACCATTTTCATAAAGTCAAGAGGTATGTGTCGCGTTGCCTTGGCTACGGCCAAAACAGTTTCCGTAGCCTTCTTTAGTTTTCGTTTGGCGTTGAAATCTTTGATATGTTCAACGCATGCCTCCATGTGAACGTTTTTATTCGCTGTTCCTCGAACCCAATGATGTTGAAGAGCAGCTGTTACTGATAATCGCTTCTTGGGATCACGTGACAGGAGTCGTCTGATGAGATCCTTAGCGTTCTGGCTGATCGAGTCCCAGTACGGTGAATCGAACTCATACTCGCACTTTATAATTTTCTTATATATTTCTGCGTCGTTCTCTGCAATAAAGGGCTCGTATCCTGAGAGTAAAATATAAGTGATAACACCGATGCTCCAAAGGTCAACGGACTGTGTATAAATTTTCCCTTCGAGCACTTCCGGGGCACAATACATTGGCGTTCCACAAACAGTCGACATTGTGAGATCATTGCCGAGAATTTTCGATAACCCAAAGTCAGTAATTTTTAAATGAGCACCTTCGGTTGGGTTTTCGTAGAGCATATTTTCGGGTTTCAGGTCTCTGTGAACGATTCCATTTCGATGTAAATAGTCGACCGCACTACAAATGTCTTTGACCGCCTTGGCAGCATCCTTCTCCGAATAATGTCCTTTTTTGGTAATTCTTTCGAACAGTTCCTCGCCTGTAACATATTCTAGCACCAAGTAAGCTCGCGTGGGCGTCTGCAACGCCTCTTTAAAACGAACGATATTTGGATGTTTCAATTTTAACAAAATGCCCACTTCAGTCGATATCAAGTGTTTATGTTTCTTTTTATCTATAACCTTCACTGCCCAAAATATCCCAGTTCCTTTTTGCTCACATTTATATACAGTAGAATAGGCTCCTCTCCCGATCACTTGTCCTAAGCTGTAAACATCCTCGAAATCCCTTTCCTTGGGCTTCTCCTTCGTTTTCCGACTCATTTTGTTATACTGTTTTATCAGCCATTTTGATTTTGCTATTATTGATACTGTAACTAAGGTAAACAAGTTCAAGGTCGTCTGTAATCAACTGTATAGTCTGACAATTTGTTAAAGCCGGTTAAAAGGAATGTGATCATGAATGAACGCTCAATTAGAGACCAATCACGCCAAATGATCAATTAGCTTAACTCTTTAGAATACGAAGTAAATACATTTTGGCTGGAATAGTTGAATCGGATCGGTTTTCTGATTAATGTAAATAATTGAAGACTGTCATTGTTATAGATTGTTATTGTATCGGTTATAGTTCTCACATATATTATTTACCGCGTCAATAAATTGTCCATTGTTATCAATCAATATATATCATATCAATAAAATGCAGGACATTAAAGTGACAGATTAGCTATTCTTTTGACCAATCATACCTTGGTCTCAGAAAAGAAAATTGTTAAAATGAACTAATCTGTAATAAGTTATACTGTTCATAGCTAACCGTCAAAATTTGAAATATCTTAGCCACGTGTAACCATAGTTATCCCTGTTTGAAAGAAGACGAGTAGGTTTCACAAATTTGAAGATCGGTGAATGACTTCACGTGCATAAAGTAGACTCAATCATCTTGTACCAGAGACTATATCAACAAGACGTCCAAATTTTGGATACCGCCTATTTTCAGAAATGAAATGAAATGAATGGAGTTTTACGTCCTACTTGCCTATTTTCAGAGAGAAGATGCTATTTGAAGGAGTTGTGCGATTTTCGTACAGTTCTAGTACTTCTAAGCACTGATTATATATATTCAAGCCCAAATCACCACAAAAGGCGAGTCTGCCCCTTTTAAGAGATTCAAAAGAAATTTTCTAGCTTTTGGGCGCATTTCCGACACATAAATCTTCAAAGCGCCATTCTTTATTTCCGAGAAGCATATGATACATCCTACTTTTCTGCACCTATTAGGCTTATAAAGATGGGTACACCATGCAGTGCGCAATGAGGAAACATGTGGCCTTTCTAACTACAATATCCGAAGTCAGGTTCATAATCACTGAATTATTCATTCACACTTTTAACTTTTAATTAATATTATCCCGCACCAAACTACAACCAATCAGATTCAATAGCTGATGTAGACTCGGCCAATTACATAGAAATTGTGACTAATGTCACAGGCCATCTTTCGTCGCATTGGGCTCAACCTTCGTACGTTAGTTTCCGTGAGTTGAACATTGAACAGCATTATAATCCCGAAGTTGATACGATTTAGCTATGCATAGACAAAGAGGAAGTGGGACACTGAACTGGGAGTAATGTTCCAGATCGTTTTGAGACTGGATGGTAGAGGTTAACTGTAGAGGAATTGTATGTGGTAGGCCTATATAGATAAATTGGGACTGGATGGTAATTCTCAACCCACGATCTTAGTTGGTATGATGCTACATAGCTGTACCCTCCCTAGATACCGATTGTACCCATCCTAGATACCGATGGTACCCTTCCTAGATACCGATTGTACTCTCCCTAGATACCGATTGTACCCATCCTAGATACCGATTGTACCCTTCATAGATACCGATTGTACCCATCCTAGATACCGATTGTACCCTCCCTAGATACCGATTGTACTCACCTTATATACCGGTTGTACCCACCTTAGATACCGATCGTACCCTTCCTAGATACCGGTTGTACCCACCCTAGATACCGATTGTACCCATCCTAGATACCGATGGTACCCTTCCTAGATACCGATTGTACCCTTCCTAGATACCGATTGTACCCACCCTATATACCGACTGTACCCTCATACCGATTGTACCTCCCTAGATACCGATTGTACCCACCTTAGATACCGATTGTAACCTTCCTAAATACCGATTGTACCCACCCTAAATACCGATTGTATCCACCCTATATACCGATTGTACCCTCATACCGATTGTACCCCTCCCCCCTTAGATACCGATTGTACCCACCCTAGATACCGATTTACTTACGGTGGGCTCAGGCCATGAAGACCAACTATCTTTGATATTTATTATTCATTGCATTATAACAATCTATTTGTCATTGATGTAGAACTAAATAACCTTCAAGGGAATTGTGTCTCGTCTTTTAAACCCAATTTTACATCGACAAAATGAATGTTGCGGATTCTATTAAGAGTCGGCGTATTTCAAGAATAAATTCTTCCTCAATTATTCATTTTCTCAATATCGTTTGATTTTAAAATTTCAATCAATATTTAATGTCGGAATGGCTCGGTGATTGATAAGTAACCATATCAAGAAGGTTTTTATTTACTGAACAAGCATATCTTTACCGTAAGTCTCTATTGTGACATATATTCAGGGCGGTGGGGTGTTGAACAAGATTCTTCTTCTTCCCCTGAAGATTTATAAACCGTCGAGCCAGGTTTAACATAAACCTCACAATAATGTACAAAAGCGTACCCGTGTTGGTTTCAGTAGAAACTGACTAACTAATACGATGTTTTCTTACACCTATTTATAGCAAAGACTGTTGTGGCAGTTAAACTGCGTTGGTAGATGGATCGAATGTTGTCGCTCGAGAGTTAAGAAAGAAACATACGTATGAGGATGTTACATCACCGTTACGAAAGGCGTTTTGAAAGCTGGTTTGGCGGTTTTGAAAGCCGGTTTGGCGGTTTTGAAAGCTGGTTTGGCGGTTTTGAAAGCTGGTTTGGCGGTTTTGAAAGCTGGTTTGGCGGTTTTGAAAGCCGTTTTAGACAATTAATTCGCACGAACAGTCGATTTCAATTCTCTGAAGTGAACATTCTGTTACTGATGCTGATCATTTACCTAAGAATTCTATTGAATCAATATGCTATTGAATTTGTATTGGCGCACAAAGAAGATGAAAGTATCTCCTGTACACATTCATAGACACCCTAACTTTTTTCAAATCCGTTTAGAACACTTTGAAAGCTTATCCAGATCTCAAAAGCGGGCACTCTGTTACGCATGCTGATCAGTGACGCAGACAGGTTGACGTCCGACGGGAGGGGGGATATCTGAGGTTGCCCCCTCCACCCCCCTCACATTTGGGTCCGCCACTGATGCTGATAATTACCTTTTTTCAATCAATATTCTATTGAATTTTAACAGAAAATAAGTTTTTATAGTATAAATTATGCAACTAAATTCCCCTGCCTTGCACCCACTCAATCTAATTGAAATTAGACAAAACTTTCGTTCGTTTTTTTTAGCTTCTATTATTATTATAACCACTTCAGTTAGGGTCTAAAGACGGGCCCTTTGACAGTTTGTCACAATAACCTTTGACGACCTCTGCTTTTAGCCCTTTTAACCAATCTAATTTCTGCCCTCTGCAGCGCTTTGATTTTGTGAGAGAGTTAAGGAATTTGGTTGGTTAAAGCAGATGTCCTCAGGTTGTGTCAAAAAGTTATTGTGATGAACTTTCAAGTGGGCTGTCTTGAGACCCTAACTGAAGTGGCTATATCAAAAATAAAAGCTAATAGAAAAACGGAATGAAAGTTTGGCACCAAAAGTAAATTAATCAGAATATTTGTATTGATTAATATCTATTACAATACAGTGAGATAGTTACAGCAAACCATTCAACCAAATAACATGACTAAAAACTTTCGTAATTGTGATACCTGCATTCAAGCGAACACTGATATTGTTAATGATATGAATTATTAGATGCGACGAGAGATTCGTCTAAAATTGAAATACTATAAATGAATGTCTGTAACAGATGGAATAAATCAAGACCAGTGGAGTTTCTATGAGGGGGAGGGGGGAGGGCTAGCCCGTCTTTGCCCCCCCATTTTCAATTTTCTTTTCAATTTGCATAACGAAAGAATAGCCTGTGAGGACATTTTTAACAAAATGAATGGTTTTAACCGATGAGAATGGCTGTAACCGTTGAATAAGAACATTTTATGCAAAACGAATGGCTGTAACCGATGGAAACGTGTCATTTTGAGCCAAATGAAGGGCTTTTATCTAAGAGAGTGAGGGCATCTTAGGCAAAACAACACTGATATTGCTAACGATATAAATTATAAATTTTGAAAGATCTTCCGAAGATGCAAGGGAAGGTTCGTCTATATATTATATATATAAATAAATACTTTTAAGCAAAACAATAAATACTACTAGATTTCCGGAATACAATACGATCTGGTGGGAATAGTTGGCGCTATATAAAACTAATATACATCATCTACTAATAGGTCTTAATTTGTCTTTGAACATAATCTTATATGGACGATATTCTCTAAGGTACCCCACTCCTGGTTTTATACAGTGGTATGACAGACCAGTTGTAGCCATCTAATTTATTAATAATTTCTGAGATTAATATAGACATCAAAACTGTATTCTCTATAAGGTACCCATCTTATACATCATTTAAATCTTGAACATCGATAATGAATAAATAATAAAGTTGACTATCCGTTTAAAGTGATACTACCTCTTAGAATGGACATACATCTTAAATTCTCAAACGTGGTCAACATGTGTATATTCATTAGTTGGACTTACCAGATGACTAAAGGATAGAATAGAAAGAATAACCATAGAACACGATATATACATTATACTAAATAATTATTCAAACGAGCTTCTAAGCGTGTTTCAAAATGACTTAGTTTTATGAATTATTACTTAGTTTAATGGATTTATTTGACTGTCACATAGTTTTGACACCAGGTAAGTCCACTGATGAACAAAAACTCATTATGGCCAAGTTTAAAGATTTAAATTTTTTGGTCATCCTAAGAGGTATTATACCTTTAAAGATGCGATTAGGCTATGGATGGTTTCAGGTGAGGTGTGTTTGTGGGATTGTCCATATAATAAAAAATAGATAAATGTCCGCTACGTATATCTCGTGAATATGTTTTTTTTATTTCTACTGTATGGTTAATCTGGCACCGTATACCATATTGTAATAGATAAAAAAAAAGTGTTGAATATTACATTGGCGTCAAAAAGGGGAGGGGGGGGGAGGTCATTAGGCCATGCACTCCCCTCACCTCCCCATCACTCAAAGGGTGAAATTTGAGCACCTTTAATGCTCAAAATTCATCTCAAGCCATCTGATCTCCGTTAGCTTTTTAAATATAAAATGTTATACCGGTTATACTCATCTGCTAGAGTTTGGCAATTCACAAAACGACTATTTGTTAGAATTAGCCTTCCGCCTTTAAGTCTCTCATCATCTCACCAAATCTGCAAGATAATGCAATTTCAGACATCAAATTCCAAATCTAGACCAAAAATTACCCAAAAATAGGCAGGCAAAAACCCCAAAAGGAAGAGAGAAAGAAGATTTCTAAAACTAGCCTGGACTACATTCGTTAACACAATATTCTATTTTTCTCCTTAGTGAAATTGCTGTTTGACTCTTGAAGTACCTTGACGTAAATTATTCTATCTAGATTTTATTTTGGAATTGTCTCCCTCAACCGTGACCTTGGCCTATTAAAAATTCTCAGTAATCTCCCTGACTACATGTTTTCGCTTTGGCTGTATTCGAGAGAGTACAATCAAATCAAATCGTTGCATTCCATGATACTAGAAAAGTGGCTAATGCAGTCAAGGTGTAGAAGCTTAACATGATGAAGGTGATTCCACTGTGTACCATCTTTTTCTTATATTCTTAGATAAAGTAGCTTTAATTACGGTATAAAAAGAAATTATTTTTATATCACATCAATAAAGATGAGAGTTTGTTTCAGCAATCAGTTCTATTAGTTCTTAATATAAGGTAAGAGTGTTTGTCTTTTTTACATGGATCCATTTATCATTCATAAACTTGGGCTAATTTATTTAAAATTTTCACTTTCAATTGGGTTTTTCATTGTATTTTGCAAAGGTTAAGTGACTCATTGTGTAGAATGTATGGAAAAAATGAAACGAAACAATATTTTGATTTAACTTCACTGTCGGACATACTAGGTAATCTAAAGAACACTATTTAACAGTATTTCTATATCACTCTACAATTGATGTATTGAGTACTATTTTAACAGTGGTATTTCTATATCACTCTACAATTGATGTATTGAGTACTATTTTAACAGTGGTATTTCTATATCACTCTACAATTGATGTATTGAGCACTATTTTAACCGTGGTATTTCTATATCACTCTACAATTGATGTATTGAACACTATTTTAACCGTGGTATTTCTATATCACTCTACAATTGATATATTGAACACTATTTTAACAGTGGTATTTCTATATCACTCTACAATTGATGTATTGAGCACTATTTTAACCGTGGTATTTCTATATCACTCTACAATTGATGTATTGAGTACTATTTTAACAGTGGTATTTCTATATCATTCTACAATTGATGTATTGAGCACTATTTTAACAGTGGTATTTCTATATCACTCTACAATTGATGTATTGAGTACTATTTTAACAGTGGTATTTCTATATCACTCTACAATTGATGTATTGAGCACTATTTTAACAGTGGTATTTCTATATCACTCTACAATTGATGTATTGAGCACTATTTTAACAGTGGTATTTCTATATCACTCTACAATTGATGCATTGAGCACTATTCTAACAGTGGTATTTCTATATCACTCTACAATTGATGTATTGAGCACTATTTTAACAGTGGTATTTCTATATCACTCTACAATTGATGTATTGAGCACTATTTTAACAGTGGTATTTCTATATCACTCTACAATTGATGTATTGAGCACTATTTCAACAGTGGTATTTCTATATCACTCTACAATTGATGCATTGAGCACTATTTTAACAGTGGTATTTCTATATCACTCTACAATTGATGTATTGAGCACTATTTTAACAGTGGTATTTCTATATCACTCTACAATTGATGTATTGAGCACTATTTTAACAGTGGTATTTCTATATCTCTCTACAATTGATGTTTTGAGCACTATTTTAACTGTGGCATTTCTATATCGCTCTACAATTGTTGTATTGAGTACTATTTTAACAGTGGTATTTCTATATCGCTCTACAATTGATGCATTGAGCACTATTTTAACAGTGGTATTTCTATATCACTCTACAATTGATGTATTGAGCACTATTTTAACAGTGGTATTTCTATATCACTCTACAATTGATGTATTGAGTACTATTTTAACAGTGGTATTTCTATATCGCTCTACAATTGTTGTATTGAGTACTATCTTAAAAGTGGTAGTTTTTTTTCTACAGTTGATGTATTTGGCACTATCTTTACGGTGAAAATATTTTGTTATTGTAGTAGAATTTAGAACCTGCTGACTTCAAATAGGGAACAGGGTCAAAACACAAACAGCGCAATGATCATTGTCAGCAATTA